GTGAGCCTGCCTCTTAAGTGAGCTGGGTTAGGTAACTGATCTGGCTGTAAACCAATCCTACTAAAAAATGAATAAAATTTGGCATGTGTTTGGCTAATGTAGTAAGACTGGGGTGAGGCGTGGGGAGGGGGCAGGGCTGCCCCTTTGAGCATGAGGACGGGCTTGGATCAGTTTAAGCGATCGTGAAACTTTCCTTCCTCTGCCTCCCTCAGCATGTTTATGTCGTTCTTAGGGAGGTGATGATCCTGAATGGTGTTGGGAAACACAAAGGCTGTGCATGCATCTTTAAGCCAGGAAAGCAATCTAGACAGTACAAATGGGGAAGAAACTGCTTGATAGGTAAGCCCTGGTTATTCCTTCAGATAAACAAAGCATTTGAAAAAACAGGACTGTCTCTGTGGTGGTCTGCCCAGATGCTGGCCTTCCAGACATCTTCCCCAGACCAGGGAACTTGTTTTGACTTCCTCCGGTTCGGCATTGCCGTCCCTAGCCCCTTTTGTTAGAGGGTACTGCTGACAGCCTTGGAAAGGTCTTTCTGGAACAGTCTGCAGAGAATTGCCACATCCTAGCAGAAGTGAGGAACTGACCAACATCAGGCCTTGCTCAGGTACAAGACTGGTTTTTCTGCTTAGTTGCTGTGCGGCTTTGGAGACAGGTGTCATACAACTATTATACAAGTGGTTGGGTTTCCTGAGTTTTAAAAGCCAAAATTATCCCTGACTCAATATGAGTTCATAGGTTAGGTAAGAAATGTCAGCACTGGTTGTTGTTTTGTTTTGGTTTGTTTTTTTCCCCATCTGAAAAACGGGGCTAAGACTTCCTGCCTTGCAGGAAGAATTAATAAGCGTAACTGCTCCAGAAACGTTTATTGCAAGGGATAATTGCTCTTGCTCCCTGTGGAGCTTGTCCTCAGCAGAAGAGTAAAGCCATGTTCTGCTCTGCCGTGTTTACCCTTACCATCTGCCCTTTGCAGGCCCTGTTGTGGCTACGTGTGATGCATGAGGTAGGATGAGCCATGCTTGCGTTTCCTGTCCGAGACTGTGTCGGTAGAGCTGGCAGCGTGATGGATTAGTTTGGCTGTAAGTGTAGCAGGTATGTGACTGGAAATTTTTAGAGGTACGCCCCCTTTCTCCACTGTGAGAGGCCTTGGGAGTGATCGCTTGTGTTCTTGCTCACGTGGAGACATCCAGGACTTGCCTTCTGAGTAAAGCTGGAGGGTCATCTTTGTGAGGGCTGTTTGCCAAAGTGAAGGTTTGCTGGGAGCAGAATCATTTGTGAATTTGAGTTGCTGTTGCTGAATGGTTTTGACTGGGGAGAATGGGAAAAGTCTGGGCAATCTAAAAAGCTCATTTTGATGTCTTCCAAACAAAAAGACTTAATATTTTCTGTTTGAAGGAGATGGTTTTGTTTTGAAATTGTTTGGAATTTTTGACTTTGGGTATTTTGCGGAGGGATAAGAATGAAGTGTTACCTTTCCAACCATAATTACACCAAAATGTCTCTGTTTCACCGAGCAAACTGAGAGGCCAGTCAACGTGACTTCTTGAGAGCCTCATTTACCTTTTAGGTCTTCAGTGTGTGTTTGAGTGGTTTACAGAACAGTCTTGGTCTTACTTTTCATCTTTTGCCAAGTGTGTTATCTGTTCATTTCTGCTCTTGGCAGATGCTTTGGTGTTTGCGTGGAAACTCATTTTCCTCCTTAAAGTTCTACAGTGGAAGAATTCCAGTTGTTAGAATTTGGTTTTGGAGAGAGACAGACAGAGGTGGGTGGAGGAGTCTTTTTAATTCTTGTACGCTAACTGCAGGGATGCCAGTGTTTTGAATGCTTATTTCATTCAGCTGAATCACTTGCGCAGTCACACCTCCTCTAAGCAAGAATTGGGGGTGCCCGGAGTCAGAAAATGTCTTGTTGCACAATCTGAGCCAGTGCTGGTTTGATGCTTGCCCTCCAGGCTGCTCTGGCTTGGCTCTGATTACAAACGTTGTTGCTGTAGAACCAGTGGTGACTGGCATCGTACGTCACGAGATAAGCAGCCTTCCTCGCTGAGAGAGTCCTCTCCAGCCGTGAAATGACAGTGTCTCTCTTTTGGCTGCTGCTAGTGGTAATTTTTTTCAAGTAGGTCCGATGCCATTGGCTGATCTGCTGCATCTCCAGTGAAATGGTCTGAAGCCAACTCAGCCCTGCATGCAGGAATTTTTGTTTTTATTCTCTAGACCTTAGAGCTATGACCTGGAATTGCATTAATATTTTCATCTGGGAAAGAACAAGACTTGGAGGATTGATTCCAGTTATCAGTATTCTACCTGAAGTTCCGGCTCCTCCCTTTCAGATAAAGCAGAGGGCAATGTAGCTGTGCCGACTTCTGAGGGAGTGCTTTGCAGTGACTGGAGTCCTCTGTCCAAGGGCACTTCTGTTACCACTACCTTGGCAGAAAGCACCTTTCACTGTATGAAGGCTGAGAATGGTCCCTGCAGTATCTGAGACCTATATTTAATCAGATCTGCTCTATGACCGTGATGTGCTGCACAAAATTGTTTAATATCCCGTTATCATTATTTTTAGGCGCTTTTTGGGTATATAAGCTTTTTTGTGAGGGCACTTAGTTATCTAACTGTGCCTCTGGTATCTGAGCATGAAGAGAAGCAAAAGTAAAACACTTGTGAGAGAGGTTTTGGATTTAGGATGATGGGAGGCAGCATGCTCTCTTTGACTTCTGGAGACTTTATTTTCGCAGTTTACCAGTGCGGCAGCACTGGCTCTCCTTAAGTCAAAGGCATTCAGCTCTTCAGAATCTAAAGAACCGGATTTCTTTTTTTGTCTTGAGCTTTTCAATATAAATTAAACACTCAACATTTGTAAATGGTATAGGCAAGGTAGTGCCTGCAATGCCAGACTCCTGAAATGACTGCTGTTTGTTTTTCCAATAACCAAGTGCATTTATCTCTCTATTCTTTCTACCTTCTTATTAGAGATAAAATTGCTTTGTTTTCTGGTGAGTTGAAGTACTTACGTTGATACTTTGTGTGACTTAGCTTTCTGCCTTTTTTTTTTTAATTTCTTTTTCAAAAGCCAAAGCTCCAAGATTTTACACTGATAGGATATGCTTCCGAAGATGTCTTTCGTACCTGGTTAGGTTTATGTCAAACATTGTCCAAAGTCATACGGAAACTAAACGCTGCTTTTTAGTATTTTTACTTTCTCTGATAGAAGTTAACATCTCTGCATCCAGAGTTCAGTTAATTTTGCTTGTGAGAATGGGTTTCTCTTTGTGAGAGTAGCTGCTCCCTTTTTTTGAATCATACACCGTTTGTCTGGTACGCGGTGTCCTTTTTGAAAGAAAAACTTTGCTTCCTTTTCTCATCAACCTCTACCTGTGAGTAAGTGCCCAAGTTTCATCACCTTTTCAGTGTCAGCTTGTTCGTCTGGAACAAGACCTGGAGAGTGTTCCTCATTGCCTGGTGTGCGTATCTTACGGACTTCAGCCAGGAAAACCCCACTAACAGAACCACCCCTGGAGTGTGCGTGCACATCCTCTGTAACAGCACCACTTCCCACACGGATCTCAAAGTGCTGTCTCCCTCTTTGTGCAGGGATTTGAGTATAGCTGGGAAAAGAGCGATAACTTCCGTGTAACTTTTGTCTACCATATAAAATCAGATGCTGTGTTGGTTAGGTTGGGAATGTGTGGAGTGTGTTAGCAGAGAAACTGCACTTGAATTGAGTCTCTAGCGAGCGTTTTCTGCATCGCTATTGATAGATGCAGACAGTTTCTCTAGACAACTCCTGTTCTGCCTGAACACCGCTTGGTAAAGGGCCTCAGACTGTAGTGTTACAGTGCACCCGTTACCCAGATTTTTAGAAGACCAGTTTCTACGCTTACAGTAGGTACATTAGCTGCTGGAAATCTTCCCAAGTCTGAGAGATGCAGATGACTGCAAGTGCTCTGCAGTTTCTTTCTAATGAGGGTCAAACATTTTGTAAAGATATTTCTCTTCAACAGTGTGGTTGCACATTAGTTTAAGAAAGTAAATAGATGATTTGCAAATGAAATTTAAGTGAATCGTAGCATAGAGCTTACACTAAACCCTGCAGGGACCTGGCCATGAGATGTGCTGCCTGATGAACATGGCTTAAGTCTGCTCTCATTGGGACTGGCATGTTTGTTTTTCCCTTCCTCCGGAACTTTGCTTAATGGACTGGTTGCAACCAAACTTCTGAAACGTTCTCAAAATAATCAATCCTTGGACCATAAGCTCATAGCATCCTCCCATCTGTTGCTTCTTGCCGCTTTTTTTTCCTTTCAATCTTTTTTTCCCCCCTATTCTAATGTTTTCTTTGTGTGAGCCTTTCTCAATCTACCCCTCTTGTGATATGTTGCAATAATGCCACGTTATCCAATATTAGACGACAAGACGCAATGTAGATGTTTCAAGAGGTGGGGGCTGGGGAGCACATATCCTTACATCCCAACAGTAGGTCTCTGCTGACTCTTAGTTTTCCCAAACAAAAGATCTTTAAAATGCCTGTTACTTACTAATGTGAGTGAATTACTGAGCCTAATCATGCTGTAGAGGAGGCTTAGAAAGAATGCTCTTCCGGCTAGTAAGTGCCACATCAAAACCTTGCATGGTGGTGTGATCTGTTGCTTAGCCGTTCTGAAAGGTGCTTGGCTTTCTTTGCTGTAGAGGATGCACTGGGCATGTTTTCCCGAAAGAGACCTTTTTAAAAACTGGCTTTGTTGTGTTGGTGCTTGTTTCCAGTGCAAGGAGGGGTGGGAGGTGTGTGGTGGGCTAAGCGTTGAGTCTCAGGAAGCAGCTCGAGCGGTTTCAGTGTTGTGGGTGGTTTGTCTCTCTCTCTAAAATCTTTGACCTTGCCTCCAGACTGTATTAGGGCAGGGTGATACAGTGATGCTGTTAGTGCTGTTACCTGAGAAAGCAGAAGGCATCTGCTCAGCCCCTGCTGTGCCAAGGTGCATTTGAGTTACGGGGTTCGAGTATCCAGCGCAGCGCCTAGATGTTTGCTCTGTACTGGAGAGACAATGACAACAGAATAAAGGCCCAGCTGAAGAGAGATCTCATGCACTTCAGTGAATGGCTGTTCAAGGAATTGATTAACATTAATACTTCAGACTGCGAGTTTCTAGATACCTTTTCACCATCGGATAGAATGACAGGCGTCTATTGTTTTCTGGGGTTTTGTCCCTGTGCTCCCACCTACCCAACTCTGGACGGACTTGCAATCTGTCTGGGTTGGCTGCTCTTTCCTTCTGCATTGGGGACCTAATCTGTCCTGTGCCTGTGCCTCTCTGGGAGCAAAAGGGAAGGGCCTAAATATAGGCTGGATAGTGCTGTTTTCCCTGCTGTGGAGGAAAGGATGGTAGTGTGCAGATCTGCCATCTCTTAAAATTGCGGGCTTCTTCCCATTCTATTTTGCAATGTGGTAACATTAATCTTGAGGCTACTCTTGCTGTACCTCAGCGGCAGTAGGACTTGCTACATCCCTAGAGGGCAGGTTTTCTTACCAAGATTCATAGGAAATGGTCAGCAGTGAGTGAGTCACATCCCACGCTTGTGCTTGTAAGCAGACTGAGCAGGGAACACACAGGTCGCTGCAAGGACTAATCCTGTTTATTCCTGAGTGCTGTTGTGTAAAGCTTTCAAATCTGCGCCTGGCAGAGTACACCCAGCACAGATCATGCACTTGCAGGTAATAAATCTCTTTGCCCACAGTACACTTAAGAAACTTATGAAGATGTTAGTATATATGTGAGACTAGAAGCTCTGGCACAATTTCAGCTCTACTTTAACACCATTTTAACAGCATACATCCGTTTTTTAAGCCCATAATATGTCCTTGTTGTTACAACAGTATATAAAGGTTGTCACGTCAGCTGGGCAAGGGGACAAGTTCCTGTCCTTTGAGGCAGACTCAGTGTCCAGCTTTTACAAGAATAAACCTATATTCCTTCCCAACAATGGATCCGAGTTGCTGTTTAATTGGTGACTGACATGAAGCTCTCTTTCTAGACTTTGTCCTTGCAAAGGGAAGCCAAAGTTATCTTAGGCTATGTTAAGACAGTAAGCCCAGCCCTCTGACTGCTCAGTGTAGCTTTTCGAATATCATGAGCGCTCTGCGTGTGGACAACTTTAAAGGCTGTGCTGTTTTAAGTAATTACGGCATTTGTGGTGTCTAAAATTAACCATACTAGTTTGGGGGTCAGGCTCCGTGCAATGCTGTGGACACTACTTTTTGCAGCTGCGGCCAAAGTATACGGTGGTGTAGCTCTTGGCTCAGAGTGTGTGTGTGTGTTTGGTTTCTGAGCCTCACTGAACAAAGGGGATAGTCACTGAAATCAAGCAATGGCAAATTAAAATCTGATGAGCTTTCCTGCAGTGAATGATGAGTTTGCAGAATTTGTTGCTGAAGAGAGCCTGTTGGAGCTAGAAATTTCATAGCACTCGGAGAAGATACGGATAGGAAGACCATCCGAAATTGAATAATGAATCCTACAAACGGCATAAAAATCCCCTTGATGAAGATGACAAATTCACTGGAGAGGAAAATTCCAAACCTTTTACCAAAACAGCCTTAATTTTTCTTGGAGAGCAACTGGGTGCCTGTGGATGGGACCAGAAATCCGGGTTGGATCCACCTCTGCAAGGTCAGGTGTTACTCTGACCTCTGGGTACCCAGCATCATTGGCAGGAAGCTGAAGATGCAAGGCTTGCAAGGAAAGATGATGTTTCACACAAACGTTAGGGTTTGGGTTGAAATTCCATTAAGCTTGTAGGAACTTTTCCCAACGTAACCAGGGTTTTCTGAAGGAACCGGACTAAAAATCTGGTTCCTTCAGCCCAATGCCACTCTTACAGCATGGCTTCTGTTCAGGCCTTCTGTATGGCCTGTCCTGCAGTATCTATAAAGAGGCCCTTATGGGGGGGAGTGTCTAGAAGTGAAGTGGGGCATAATAAGATTACTCTCTTTGCTCCCTTTGCACCATCTCAATCGAGGGGATTAACAACATAGATTTCTTATTAGGTCTCTCCATATTTAAAAGCAAACAAGCCTTGCACTGTTAGTGTTGCTGAGCTAAGTTAATTTGCTCAAGCCCTGCTTTCTGCTGGAAAAGCCTCATCTGTGCAGGTGACTTGTGCTGCTGTGACTAAATAAGTGTCCTGACCCTAGTGCAGGTTTTCTGGTTGAAGAACGGCTCCTCATGATGTTTGTGGAGATTACCCTTCTAGAGCAGGCAGCAGAAGGAAGCAGTGAGCCTGGAGGGTCTAGGTAGGTGATACGTATGTTTGTGAGCAAGGGCTTTACTCATCCGTTTCCTGGTTATATCTTACTAAGCTTACTTTTTCTTTTCCTTTCTTAAACCTGGTGTTATCTTGGGGCAGGCATGGAAAGACTCTTTCTGCTTTATTTGGAGTTTAAGTCCCTTGTCTCAGAAAGGTACAGGAGGCCAGACGTTATGTTGTGCGAGAACACTGCCCTTCTAAGCGAATCTTTTAGCAAGAAACTCGGGATGTAATTAATCCTTGGAAAGTAATTCATGTGGTAGTGGAAGCTGTCTTTTTAGGGGAAAAAACAGAGGTTCCCACTTCTCCTGTGCTGTTTCATGCCTTTGGGCCCCAGTGGTGGTCTCACAGACAAAGCCCTGGGCACTTCTAGAAGTTTGGGGTGCTCCTTGGCAGCTAGCTGCAATATGTGTCCTCTAGGCAAGCTCCTGCTAGCCTGGCCTTTAAGCCAGCGAGTTGCATGTTTGTTTGTCACCCATCACTCTGAATAAAATGGAGCTGGAAACAAAATGAAATGCTGAGAAATATACTGTATTCTAGCTGGTTAAAAATGTAGTACTTCTGATCATAGCTGATTGTTACAGCTGCCCCAAGGATGTTACTCTGTGGTGGCTGGGGTCAGAAGGAAGTGCTGAACAGTCTCTTTCTCTGGCTATAACGGGTATGCAGAGAAGTCTAGACTCTGATGTCTTGCCAGGTTTTTAGGTCCTGGCTCATATGAGCCTTGCTTTGGTCTGATTCATCACTTCCTGGAATTTCTCTGCAGGTGTCGGTACCTGGCCGTCCAACTGTCTCCAGCCATCCCCGTGTTTGCAGCAGTTCTCTTCTTGTTTGCCATGGCCACACTCCTGCGAACAAGCTTCAGTGATCCTGGGGTGATCCCAAGAGCCCTGCCTGATGAAGCAGCCTTCATCGAAATGGAGATTGGTGAGTGCTGAGGCTGGAGCCAGTTGACCTGGTGATGTCTGGACAAGCCTGTGTGTTTCTGGCATACATACAGGCTGGATTCATTGCAGAACCTTTCTTCCTGGCTGGCCTTTCAGAAATGGAGATTGCTTCAAATCTGATCACCTGCTGGCTAATTCTACTTGTCTGAGTCTCTAAAGAACGGTGTGGTGTACCTGCTTCCCTTCCGCAAACTGGGGCCTTCTCACAAACTATTTTTTTTCTTGTAGCTGTGGATAGACAAGCACACTGGTTTGCTCTGGGGAAGGGTGCAGTAAGCTTGATGCGAGTCATTTGATCTTTCAGGTAGAGAGGAAGTTTGGTGGATGCATGTCCGAGCAATGATTTTTCCTCCTTGTTTGTTCACTTGGCAAAGTACTGGAATCTCTTTGCCTGGCTCCAAGCTCCCAGGTTGGCTCTGGAACACGCAAAGAGAGCTGCAGCTGCTGGCTCTAGACCCAGCAGACTCTGATCCTGCTGGTAGAGGAGGAGAGATTTTCTAAGCCTGTTGTGTCATAGCAGCAAGTCTGATACCTACTTGGTTTTTGCTCTCAGAGGCCACCAATGGGACTGTGCCACAGGGTCAGCGCCCGCCCCCACGGATTAAAAACTTCCAGATCAACAACCAGATAGTGAAGCTGAAGTATTGTTACACATGTAAGATCTTCCGTCCGCCCCGTGCCTCTCACTGCAGCATCTGCGACAACTGTGTGGGTGAGTAGACTAGGCCGTGCCCGCTCCGTTGTCTATGCGTTACGTAAGAGTGTCCAGAACAGAACGGGTGAAGATCTGGACCTGGTCTCACTCCATATCTAGTCTCACACTGTGCTCACTTCCAGCAGCAATGGAGGGAAGCGCGAAACAGTGTTGGCTGGACAGATGAGGACAAACTGCTTCATCTTAAGCCCAAGGAGCTGGAGATTTGTGCCAGATGGTTCAGCTTTGCCAGCGCTGCTTTGATGAGAATTAGTCTAGTATAAGCCTAACTTATTTATATAAATGCACAATCCATTTCTGAACTTTACTGAATTGCTGTCCTTGCTAGACTAGAGGGTTTCACTGGAAAGCTGCGTATTGTGTGAAAACAGCTCCTTGCTTCAGCTTGGAACTGATCACTCGGTGATTTTACTGTTTCACTGAGTATGCCTTTTGTGTTTCTCCTGCTGCATAGCAGAAGTTCTCATAGCCCTTTTGCGTATCCTAGTTAGTTCATATTCAGCATCCCTTCTTAAGGAAGAAGTCCTACTCTTTTTGATCCCTGTCTTCTTGTGCAGGTTACCCTCCATTTGTTTATGCAGCTTGTTGAGCCCTCCTCTAATTATTCTGGAGGAATAAAGCAGCACATGGGTTAGATAAGAACTTTTGAAACCCCAGACCTTCATCTAACCTGTATGTTGTTTTAGCAAAAGTCCCTCACAGGTTTCTGTGAGAGAAAATGTGCATGGGGCCAATCTCTTAAATTTTATGGTAATGTGTAAACTCACTTATTAGTAAAAGAGTTTTGCGCTCTCTTACCTGGCCATCCCTTTTGCTTCTGGTAGGGGGCTCTCGGTTAGCAGAGGGTTGGACTTGATGGCCCAGGGAGTCCTCCTGAGCCTTGTGAATTTTTGAGTCTGGGGTACAGGAGTAAGTGTTTGGAAGCAGGACCACAGCAGAGCAGCACTGATCTCATTTTTACTTTCACAGAGCGCTTTGACCATCACTGTCCCTGGGTGGGCAACTGCGTGGGGAAGAGGAACTACCGCTATTTCTACCTCTTCATCCTCTCGCTCTCGCTCCTCACCATCTACATCTTCACCTTCAACATAGTCTATGTGGCACTGAGTGAGTCGGGCTGCAGAGAGGTGGCTGGCTGGGCTGGTTAAGGGGTGAGGGAGGATGTTGCAGACCTGGAGTGGGAGAGGGAACTGGGCTCAGCATGACGTCCCAGAGACCAAATGCCTCTTTCTTTTGTTTCGTCAGAATCTCTGAAGATTGGGTTCCTGAACACGTTGAAGGAAACCCCAGGGACATATCCTTCCACAGCACAGGAGAGTTGGCTTCTCCAAAGCTTTGAGAAGTGCGAGCTGTGTTATGGAGGAACTGGAGACATGCCCAGGCTTCCCTATGGAGTCTTTCAGGGCATTTTCTCCTTTGATAACAAAGCAAGGAACAGTTTTTGTGGCTATTGGGAGGTGGGAGAAGCAGAAAGCAGTGACAAGGCAAAGGTCAAGAGAAGCAGGCTAGTGCACCTGGACACAGCTGGGGTGGGAGTGGACGTAATCCCAGACTGTTCCCAGTCCTTAACTGCGTTCTCACTGTCCTGGAGGTGCTAATCTGTTTCTTCACCCTGTGGTCAGTGGTGGGGTTAACTGGGTTCCACACCTTCCTGGTGGCACTAAACCAGACAACCAACGAAGATGTAAGTAGTCTTTCTGTTCCCCTGAGCCGTCTCCTTTTCTCTTCAGTTCCTCAGTGTGTCACAGCTGCGTCCACACTGCTGACATGTTCTGCTCACGCTGAGGCAGGGCTCTGTGGGCAGGGGGCAGCTCTCAGTGAAGCAGTGGCTTAGAGAAGCAGCAGAGTTGTCCCTGCCCCTGCAGGGCAGAGTTATGCTGAGGCAAGCAGCCCTGCTCTTCTTCGCTTGTGAGTGAGTAAGGCATGAGGGCTCTTGAACTCACCTGGTGATGGAGGTGGCTTGTTCTGCAGCTCTGAGCTTGTGCCCTGTACATTGCAGATTAAGGGGTCATGGACTGGGAAGAACCGTGTGCAGAATCCCTACAGCCATGGCAACATAGTGAAGAACTGCTGTGAGGTTCTGTGTGGACCTCTGCCCCCCAGGTAAGCTCTGAAAGGGCAGGCCCGCTCTTCTTCCCCCAGAGCAGGACTCTGAGGAGCTCTGCTTTGCTCCCTTTTGCCAGCTCTGTGTATTGAGGGCTTCTGGAGGCAAGCTGGGACACAGCCAGCTCCTCTGGGGAAGAAGATCTTGTGTTGCCTTACTTGCATGCCTCCAGTGATTCAAGCTTGCAATGTGCTCCCTAACCCCATGTGCTTGGGAAGCAGTTGGAGCAGCAACTTCCCTTCCTTGGGGTAGAGTAGGGAGAAGAGACTGTTCCCAGGGACACCTAGCCTCTGAACTGGGCTGCTCTCTGGGGTGCTTAGTTTTCACAGGAGAAACCTAGATGCTACAGACCAGGATTAGGCTCTACCCAGCCTGTCCTGGGTGGGGGAACCCTTTACCTTAACACTTGTCTTCTGTCAGCACTTTTCCTGATAGGAAGAGAAATTGGCTTTGGGTGAGGCACTGGTCTGACTGTGTGATACTCTTCTTGCAGTGTCTTAGACAGACGGGGCATCTTGCAGCAAGAGGAGAGCACGGCTCAGGAGGAGACGTGCACGCGGGGGCCTGGTGCTCAGGAGTCCGCTGCTGCTCAGGGCCCCTGTGGGCAGCCAGAAGAGAGCAGTGCTCAGCAGAATGATGGCAGCCTTCTTCATCCGAGTGCTGTGAGTGATTCCCTCTATGTGGGGTATGAGTGGGACAGGCCTGCTCAGAGAGAAAGCTGGGAACATGACATAACAGGAGCAAAGTGACTCCTGGGGCCTTGCTGAGATACTGCTGGCAAAGAGACTTGTGGTCTGGCCCTGGAAACAAGCATCCCTCTGCAGCTGGCTGGGAGGGTGCTTTAGCTCCTCTTGATTCCTATCCCTAGGTGAACCTCAAAGGGAATGAATGCATGTCCTTGGAGGCCAAGAGCAAAGGAGTTGGGGAGGGATAGGAAATTGCAGGTATATTATTTTGGCACTGAGTGCAAGCCGAAGGGGTCTTGCTGGGTCAGGCCCTGACAGACTGGGGAATCTCCATCCTTGGAGATACTCATTGTCTGACTGGACACGCTCCTGAGCAGCCTGCTCTAGCTTTGAAAGCAGCCCTTCTTTGAGGATGTGGTTGGACGAGAACCTTCCAGAGGGCCCTTCCCATCTAAATTATTCTGTGAACGTATTGAGAAGGGACTAGGTCTGCCCCTGCTTGGGCATGAGCAGTCTGTTTCTGTAGCGGAAACAGTCCGGACAACTGGCTGGAACAGTCCTGTAGCTTCCAGTGTTTCCCTTCT